GCTAGAATAAAGAAGAAAGGAGAAAGAGGATCACCCTGCCTCAACCCCCTTTCTGAGGGAAAAAAACCAGCAGGTTCTCCATTAATCAATATAGAGAACCTGACAGTTTTAATGCAAAATCCTATCCACTTCAGCCATTTCTCTCCAAACCCCATTTGTCTCAGGATATTAATAAGGAAATCCCAATTCACATGATCATAGGCTTTCTCAATATCAAGCTTATACATGATTCCTGGGGTTTCACCTTTAATCCTTGAATCTACACAGTCACTAGCTATTAGAGTTGCATCTAGGATCTGTCTGCCCAGTATGAAGGCCATTTGATGTTTGTTGACTAGCTTGCTGAATAATTTTTTCATTCTTTCTGCCAGAAGCTTGGCAAAAATTTTATAAACTCCACCAATAAGACTTATTGGTCTAAAGTCTCTAAGTTCAGTTGCCCCTGGCTTCTTTGGAATAAGGGCCACATAGGTGGCATTGAGGCTCCTCTCAAACTCGTGTCTTTCATGAAAATGGTTTACTGCATTGATAAAATCAAACTTAAGCACCTCCCAAAAACTCTGAAAAAAACACATGGGGAAGCCATCAGGGCCAGGTGCCTTGTCACTGGCACATGACTTGATGCACTTCAAAACTTCAGCCTCCTCAAAGTGAGTTTGCAACCAATCTCTTTCTTCCTCACTAATTTTCATGGTTCAGTAAGCCGTCTTTGCATCAAATTTGGTTGATGTATTATTTTTTGCTATTGTAAGAACTCCTTGATGACATTCTTTATCATGCCAATTCCTAAGGAAGAGAAACCCTTGTTTTCTTGATCATTTAATAGCATGTTCATAGTGCATAGAATCATTTCCCTTTAGCCATAATCCTTCGCCACCACTATTTACTTATGATCTGAAGTACACTCCAAATTTGTGCATAGTATCAAATGTGTTTGAGCTTAATTTGAACTTAAAAACAATATGTTTTCATGGTCTAGATATGCATTGTTCAACAAAATAGATAGAAGATATTCATGTTTCACATAGCAACAAAAAAATTTGATCAATACGAAAATCTATTTATTTAGTTTCTTTTATCTTTTGTGTTTAATTTTTGTCTGCCTAGGTATTTTCTTCGTGGCAATTGAAAAATCTACCATCTCCGGCCTTCAGAGGCAAATCCCTTCATCTTCAATTGGATTTAGTGAAATGGCACGTACCAGGAATACTGAACTTGCTGAAGCACTGTCCTTGCTTGAAGAATCTTATCATCATAATAACTTCTTATGAATCTACATTCCATGTATGACAAAATTTAATTGTGTTTATTGCTCTTGTTGTTTTATTGCATTCTTTGAATGTTTGATTGGAACTTATTATCAGGGACACTAAAGATTTGGCAACATTTTGCTTTCAGACACTGGTAAGACACTAATCAGAGTTGGTATAACTGGGATGTGTTGAGCACTGACTCTGGCATTTTCCTTTTTTTTTATAATAACATTTTTTTTTTCAAATGTCATAAACATTGTCCCTACTATGAAATGTGTGTGTTTCTCTACTATATGGAAATAGGATGATTTTTCCTAGTCTCCCTCTTCTATTTACTCATTATATTGGGAATCCTGAGAAACCATCAAGTAGAAACATATGATATCGTGTTTTCTAGTTCTCTGTTACTCTCCCAAAAGACAAAAACAGTATTCAAAGTGGAACTAATTTTCTGAACTTGTATGGTTTTATATGGATTGTTTGACAGTAATTATAGATGTGTTCTCATCTTGTGTTACCCTAGCAATTTGTAATTTTTGGTCCCTATCAGTGTCCGTTATATACTTGGGTTGCCGGGTTGGTACAACTCTTGACGGGATATTTTCTCTTGTGCTTATTGTAGAACACACTCTCATGGACTCGCCCATATGAGTTTGATGCGGATGAATATTGGAATATGGTAGATTCTCCTGTCCAGTGCTTGACTCATCACCTCAAGAAGGTGGTGGTAGCTGGTCATGTAATGAAGAAGCAGGTGATTCAGTTTCTGGAATATTTGTTCGAGCATTTCGTGGTGTTAGAGGAAATGAAGATATTCGCGGAAAAGCAGGTATTGACCTTTGGCCCAATTAATTTCTTCAATGATGAAAGCACCATTAGCCTCTTCCTCTGCTGTAGTGCACTTCTACTGAACCCTTCAGACCTATTTGCTTAGATACTTTTAGTTCGAACAGTTTGTTCCTGGATGTCTTTTGCAATAAACAGTTAGTTGTTATCAGTATAAGTAAGTTGAACTCATGATAATACTGTGCACAATGAATTACCTTGCTCTTCTATTCTAATACCAAACTTCTACTTTTCATGGCTTGAGTTTCAAGTTGGCTGCTAGTTCTTGTTTCTGATCCTGCATATCAATCCAAAGCCTATCATTGTAAACTCACACTAGTTAAAGATTTTTTCTCTGAAAGTATCTAACCATTTATAATTCCAAGTTGCTGTCCCACCCCACAATCTTTTTCTGAAAAGTGCATACAAAGAGATAGAGTTAACTTTTATAATCTTGAAAAATAAGGCAGGTCATCCAGTACCATCAGTGGCAGAGTCAAGATTTTTGCTTTTAAGGAGATTCAAAATATAAAGAAGTCAAGGGGATTCAATATATATATACACAACTACATACCCAGTGTAATCCCACAAAGTGGGGTATGGGGAGGGTAAAGTATACAAAGATTTATCCACTACCTTGGAGGTAGAGAGGTTGTTTCCTATAGCCCCTCATCCCAAGGAAAAACAGTCTGAAGCAGTATAGAGAAATAAATAACGGAAATGAAGAAAGATGTGGCAAAATACTATAGACAACCTGACAAATTATCCTAGACAATAGTCATATCAAGATAAAACAATAATCCTAGTGTAAAATATCCACTTAATAAACCAAACTCAAAGGACAAGAAACTACAAAAGTAATACTATGACTAATAGTATAGAAGGATAAGCGAAACATAGCTCAACTATGTCCTCGGTTAGCTGAAGTTGCGTCATGCCCTATCTAATCACTTCTTCCGATATTTCTTCGGCCTACCTTTACCTCAGCACATCTCCTATGCACATGCCCAAACGATCTCAGCCTCATTTCCCGCATTTTGTCTTCTATCGAGTCGATGCCACTTCTAGTATGCCTAGATAGGAAGGTCTGGAGGTCGAGGATTATAGTAGAAGGGTAGTAGGTAGACAAGTGTTGTAGTACTTTTACATTGGAGAGGCAGGGAGCAAGTCTCCTCTTCTCCTTTATTAGCAGTCTTAGCTAGTATTCACATTGTATCTTATCCTTCCCTTTTAGTATTATTTGTTATCTAATTTGCTTTGTTTATCTTGCTATTCTGCTATCATTATTTTCCTTTGTGCTCTACTTTGATTACACTTCTTTTGAGGCCAAGATTCTATTGGAAACAACCTCTCCACCTCACAAAGGTAGTAAGGTGTGGTTACATCCTACCCTCCCTAGACCCATCTACGGGATTACACTGGGTATGTTGTCGTTGTTTGAGGTGAAGAGTGTTGACTCTCTCTAAAATGTGTACTTGGAAGCACGAGAGCTACTTAATTTAGTAATTACTCTATTTCAATATGCTATAACCTTATATTTTAGGTTTTACAGTAAAAAATTTACTGGTAGCTCTGGTAGACTCCTGGCCTGTTGTTGTTTGGTCGAATTGAACCATATTGTCTTCTTTTTAAAGAAAAATATATATGATAGAGAGTGGGGTTAGGAAGTACCTTGCAATTTGCATGGAGACTAAAAGACTGGACCTCTTTTTTAGTTGTAAAAGACAGGATTTCGATCTATTGGGGTGTTGGCCCAGACATCATGGTTATCAAGATAAATAGTATTTGGGGTCAGGGACTCATGGTACCTCATTTTCATACTCTGTTCCCATTTCTATATGATGGAACTAGAACGTTTGTTCCTCTTCAAGGTGAAAATGCAGTTGATTATGGACAAAGGGGTTTTCTTGGATGCTTGTAATTGCCGGAATCAAGGTCAAGCCAGAGGCACTAATATGAATTCTGATAAAAGAATGACGTGTTTTTTTTTAATAGTTGAGGCAGATACCTTGATTATTCCCTTTTCAATTAAATAAGCATTTCTCAATTTGATTTTTGTTTTCCTTGGTAGCTCTATATGGTAGGATCAAGGTCATGCAGAGAGTTAGGTCATTTAATATGAGTAGTTTTAGGTTTCTTGTTATGCTTACGTTGTATTATCGGTCTATTGCAATGGTTGCTGCTTTTTTATGATTGAGTATATAAACCCTTGTGATATAAAGTTTTAGACATATTCTTTTGACTTATTTATTGCGAGTGGGAGTTGCTTGTAGCCGATGGTCGAGTGTAATTTACTGACAACAAAGCACACAATGGAGTAAGCTTAGAGGCAAGACATTTTTGCCGAAAAAGCCTTTTATTCTCTATAAAAGCTTTGTATAACTCTTTAACTTTTATGAAGCAAAATTCATACCGTTTCTGTGCTGAATAGGCAAATCTGTAACTTGTGCTAAAAGAGGGCTTGATTTCTGATCTAAGACTAGAAAATCGATCCTTAAGTAGGTATACAAAAAATGTTATGCTATTCATTCTCTTTCCTTTTAGATAGTTAAATTTATGGCTGGAATGGTTCATCTTTAGTAGGGAGTATTTAGGTTTGGAAAATCTAGGGTTTTGCTTTTTTGTTTCAAATGTTTTTTTTTTAAAGAGAAGAGGTCAGCCGGACACGATCCCGATGACTATTTTATTATAAATAATAAAAGTCTTTAGAATTAATAAAGAAAAAACTAAAAGTAACACTCTGTCTAGTTGAAACTGAAAAGTCTCGAACTTTCCATCGTCTCCATGACCGCCGGTCTTCTTAGTTCCGGTATGGAGATTCCCGATCATTTCTTAGCTTGCTGGCCTTTTTGTAGGCGTTTTGTTGCATTTCCTTTTTTCTTTTCTGCGAAATGTATCTCACGTTTGCTTGTTTATTCCTAGGTTGTTGTAGGCATTGATTCTAGATCTGTTGTTGGTGAAGTTCGTTGTTGTTGAAAGTGATTCCAGATCTACTCTTCTGATGGCTCTGTGTTGATCTTGGCAGTAAGGTATGAATTTTCCTTTTTTAAACCTTTCTTTTTTAATGATGTGCTTCTCGGTATTTTCCATGTACTTGTCCCAATTTTTGTGGTTATTGCTCTTGCTCTGTTCTTCAATCCAATCTTTATGGCTGTTTTTTAAGAGACTCTGGTGGTTGTGGCCTTTTACTGCTTTCCATCGACTTTTGAACAGTGGCATGAGCATCTTACGATGTTGATACCACCACTGCCCAAACTTCGATTTATTCAGTACAGCCCGCCCTTGTATGTGTCTCCTTTTCTGATCCTTCCTTTGTATTGAGATTGTATACCATGTACTTAAATTTCCTTGGTTCTTGTGTTCTGTTTATTTTTGTTTATGTATGATGCATGTGTGCTCCGTTCCTACGAAATTGCGTAAACAGTTAGTCTAAATCATATCCTCGTTGTTCTTCTCCCAAAGGATTTGAACTCGGGGTTCTGGCGTATGAGTTTTCTCTTTCTAGTCCTTTCATTTTTAAAGATATGTTTCTGGTAATTTTTCATGTACTTGACTCGATTTTTGTGGTTGTTGCTTTTGCTCTGTTCTTCAATCCAATGTTTCTGGCTGTTTTTTAATAGACTCTGGTGGTTGTGGCCTTTTACTGTTTTCCATCGACCTTTGAACAGTGAGATGAGCATCTTAAGATGCTGATACCACCACTGTCCCAACTTCGATGTATTCAAATCAGCTTGCCTGTTTTTTGATCCTTCATTTGTATTAAAATTGTATACCTGTATTTAGATTTTTTTTGGTTCTTGTGTACTGTTTTTCTTTGATGTATGATGCATGTGTGCTCTATACCTACAATATTGAGCAAACAGTTAGTGTAAATCGTATCCTCATAGCTCTCCTCCCGAAGGATTTGAACTTGAGGATCCTTTTTCTTTTCCTTCTCTTGACTATCCTTCACTTTCTGCATAGTCTTATTCTTAGGTAGGGCACCAGTAGCTTATCACTATTTATAATTCTCCTGCCTTGGAAATTCCATTTCTTAAAAATTGTTCACTTTAACAGTCCCTTTCTCCAGTGCTAAGTTAGCCATATAGTCTGCCAATTTATTTGCTTCCCTGAGAATGTGAGTTATGATCATTGTTCTGCCTTGCATCTGTTTCCATATCTCCTCCAATGTAGTCACCACTTTCTATGGAATCTTCCAAGTTTTTTCTACAATATTCTTAATTAGTAGAGAATCAGTTTCAATGATCACCCTGTCCAAATGTGCTGTCTCTATGTACTTCAAAGCCCCTAAAATAGCCATGGCTTCTGCTTGTGTATTAATACAGGATAACTCTTCAATCTCCTTAGCTTGTGCCTGTAGTACATCCCCTTTGGTATCTCTTATGCAAAAACCCCCAAGAACTCCTTCCTAGGTTTACTTTAGATGCTCCATCAGTATTAACTTTAACCCATCCTGTGTCAGGTGGTTTCCAAATGACTTTGGTTACCTTGTCTGTGGGACTGTAGGTATATAGAGCCTCCACCATTATACCCCAATTGTTAGGGACATTTCTGCAATTTCTCCTCTTTACTTTTATGAATAAAGCCAGTGTGTGCATGATCTTATATGTCAATCTGTTACTGGGCATCTTCCCTCCATGTCTCAAGGTGTTTCTCCTTTTCCACAATTCCCACAGTATTATAGAAGGAATAGCATGAAATATGTAGTTAATCTAGGGATGAACATTTATGTCCCACCACTTGGAATAATAACATTGTTCTCTGTATTCATTCCTGCTGGTCCATGGAAATATTTTCACACCATTTGAGCAGTTGATGACTGTAGGAACACATGAGCTCTGTTTTCTGTCTTAGGGTCCTCACAGCAATAGCACCTGGAGGGAAATTGAATTCCCCATCTTCTCAATGTATCATCTAGTGGTACTTTTGCTTTCCACAGCTTCCACATAAAAAATGAGATTTTAATAGGCATACCTTTTGTCCATATGTAGTTGTACACCTTATTCACTTCTTGTCTCTGTCTAATATGATGGAAGGCTGAAGTCATTGTAAACTTTCCTGTGGATTCCAGCTTCCAATAAGGTCTGTTCGATTCCTCCTCATACTTTGGTGGGTTAATTTTGTGAAGGATATACTCTACCAGATTTTGAGGGAGTAGATTTCTGAGGTACCGTTCATTCCTTTGTCCTGCTTCTGCCACATCCTTGACCAAGATCAGTGTTTGGTCATAATCTACTCCCGGAGGAATAAGTTTATGAAGTGCTCCCATTCCTGTCCAGTTATCTAGCCAGAAGTATGAATCCCTTGTTTAATTAACCACCAGATTTCAGGTTCTATCTCCTCTCTGACTTTGATCATTTTCTTCCATATGTAAGTGCTTGTCTTGGCTTGTACCACCACTAGATTGTGTATTTTTAGATACTTGTTGGTCGTGTAACTTCTCCACAATGATTCTTTAATCCTTATGTTCCACCATAGCTTTGCAAATGAAGCTCTAGACACATTTTGTAAACTTTTGAAACCCATTCCTTCCTCTTCTTGTGGATGACATAAGATTGTCCAAGTGGCCCTGTGTCTACTAGAGTTTCCAACTGAGTTGCTTCAAGAACTTGGCAAACAGTCTGTGAAGTTGAGTTGTGACTACTGCAGGGGGTCACATGCTGATAGCAAATGGATGGCACTCTGCAGGACTGATCTAATCAGGGTTGTCCTTTCTTCTACGGATAAGAGCTTTCCGGTCCAGGAACTTAATCTATTTTGAACTTTATCCAGCAATTCTTTGTAAAAAATATTTGTGTTTTGCTAAAGTATATTGGTACTCCCAAATAGGTAAAAGGAAACTCTTTTCTTGGGATCGTGGTCACTGAATATACCTGCTCCACCAACCTTTGGGGGGTCAGATGGTGCATGAAAACTGCACTCTTGTCTTTGTTGATAAGCTGCCCACTCACCTTTTCATAATTTGCTAGAGTATTCATTCATAATCAGTTCTAAAGAATACCTGTCAGCTGAAGCAAATATAATTGTGTCATCTGCATTGGCTAGGTGATTCACATAGGGACTCCACTTTGGCGTTCCATATTCCTTGTATCTATCATTATAGTGCAATGCATTTACTGCTCTGGATAAACACTTAGCAGCCAATTTGAATAATGTAGGTGATAGGGGATCTCCATGTTTCACACCCCTGGAAGATTAAGAATCTTTGAAGTTGTCCATTAACTAGTATTGAGTACCAGTTATTAGACACTATCCTGTATACCATATCAAACAAGGACTCTCCAAATCCCATTTTTCTCAACACCTTAGTCAAGAAAAGCCATGATGCTCTGTCATACGCTTTTGTCATGGCTTAATAACAATATTAGCGGACTTTTCCCTTATTCTGATATGATGAATTATTCTTGCACTTGTAGGATGTTTTCTACGATACTCGTGCCTCTAAAAAGCCTGACTCTTGTGGAGATATCAATGTAGGAAGGAGCTTTACCAATCTATCATGAATGATTCTGGAGAAAACCTTGCTAGTGAAATTGCTTAAGCTAATAGGTCTCAAGTCTGAAAAAGTAGTGATGTCTTTCTTCTTAGGGATTAATACCAGATTTTACAGTTTATGTACCTTGGTACTTCATGGACACAGAAAAATGACTTCACCATCTTTGTCATAGCTTTGGCAATTATGTTCCAGCAAGCCTGAGATCTTTTTCCTGTATATTCATCTGGTCCTCCTGCATGTCTGAATTTAATCCAAACACTGTATTTTTTATTTCTTCCTTGTTTGGCATTTCAATAATCTGTGCATTCTGATCATCTGTTATCATTCTTGGGATATATTCTAGCATCTCAAAACTAGTATTGAGATTATCTGGTCTGTATAAAATCTGATAGCTTCCTGTGCGATGTCCTCCTCACTATCCAGCCACACTCCTCTGTCATCTTGTATTCTCTGTGACTTCAATCTTCTCCTTTTTTCCATTAACATATGTGTGGAAAAATTTAGTATTTCTATCCCCATCTGCAAACCATTGCATTTCTGCCTTTGTTTCCAGAAATTTTCTTCCACAGTATAGAACTTGATTAGATTTGCTTGTACCTTCTGCAGTTTTTTCTCTGTTTGTGTTCGTTGGGTGTGTCTCAAATTCCTTTTCATGAACCTGCACCACTTCCTCCAAAGAGGCTATCTGTTTGAAGATGTCTGCATATGTATCCCTACTCCATTTTTGATAATGCTCTACTCACCTTCTTCAGCTTATTATGAAAGTTGAAAAAGGGGTCAGAACTGTGCACTTCCTGCCAATTGTCTTCAACTAATTTCTGTAATGTCTCATACTCCACATAAAAGTTCAAAAATCTGAATGTTTTCCTGATTAGCCTGTCTTCTGATTTGGTTGTTAAGATTAATGGAGAATGATCAGATCCTTGCTTAGTGAGGTGTTCTACTTCCAAGTTGGGGAATAGATTTTGTAAAGCTTGATTACCCAAGCATCTATCCAGTCTTTAAAAAATGCAAGTTGCAACTTGCATCTGTTCTTCCATTCCACCAAGTGTACATGCTTCCTTTGAAACCCAAATCAGCTAGTTGACAAGTGTTTATACAATGAATGAAATCTTTAGTTTCATTGTATTGAGCTGGTAGACCCCTAAGCTTCTCCATATCATCTGTTTTCATATTGAAATTTCCTACTACTACCCGTGGAAGAGTCATGTTTGTTGCAATATCATGTAAGTCATCCCACAAGGCAATTCGTGTGTGTCTATTAGTACTGGCATACACTATTGTAACCTGTGTTTCCTGTCCATCATCATTGTCTGTGAGTTTGAAGGATAACGATTGTTTTGTATCAATTTGCACTTCCATCTGGAATCTGTCTTCTATAAAGAGCCATATTTCCCCCTTCAATTTATGGCAGGTTGTTCCTATATTTAGCCATAGTCTATACATGTCAATGTTCCTATGATGTTGAAATGGTTCCAGTGAAGCTGTGATGTTGAAGTGTTTTTGTCTGCTCAATATCACTACTCTTTCAAAAGCCTGTTGTGTACTAACAGACCTTATATTCCATATAAGTGAGCAATTCATTGAGAATTGGTTTTGGCGAGGGTTGTCCTTGTTAGTATACCTTTTTTAGGAGGTACACTTTTATCTCTGCTTTTAGTGATTTTCCTTTCCTTCTTTACCTTAGCAATCTGTCTAGGAGATAAATCTCTTTTGTTGTTTGTCTGTATTGTATCTACAGAGTGTTTTGGATAATCATCATCTCCAATATCTGCCACTTTTTCATGATCTTCTTGTTCCCCTTTTTCTTCTGATGTTGTCTCTGTATTTTATCTTTTGCTGTTGGCATTGTCCTGATTACCCTGAATTGTGTCTGTCACTGCTGATGTACCTGTCTCTATTGAATCTGCAGATTCCTGTTCTTCCTGTGTTGTTGGCTGGTTGTCATCTGGAGGCTCTTTGGGGGGTGTGCATCTCTCCTGTGCTTTCTGAACTTGGTGGTATTGGTCTATGTTTTGATTATTGTTTTGTATGCTTTGATTCTCCATATTTTCTGATTTTTTTTCCTGTGAATTATGTTGTAAGCCTTGTGTCTCTTGATTGTTTATGGGTTGTGTGGAAGTGTTTGTAGTAGATTAATTACAGTGTTATTAAAAGTGAACGTTCCATTGCATAAAGCGAGAAGCAAAGCGAAGCGAAGCTGTATCCTTTTTTGCAGTGAAGCGAAGCTATGGTAAAGAAGTAAGCGCTTCAGTCCCAGAAGCGAGAAGCGATACTTCAGTAAAAGCGAGAATTTTTCTCGCTTTTCTGCTTAAGTGAGGTCGACAGAACGAGGGCTTTTTTTTTTTTTCGTAAAACACTTTTTGCCTTCTTTCCAAACATTTCCCTCTATTTCACTTCTCTTGTTGTGACACTCTTTAAAGTGACTGCAAGTTAAGTTTTTCATCTCTTCTTCTTTTCTTTGTTTCTCTGGCTACTGTGTTTTTTCCAACTTGCAGTATGCAATTTTCCCTGTTTTGTTTTTTCCTGTTTTGCAATATAATCTTCTCTGTTTTTTTCTTTCAGTTTCACAATTTTTTTTTCTCTGCTTTGTATTGCTTTCTCTGTTATGCTCTGTTTTTGGTCCATATTCTGCAATTTTCCCTCTGTTTTTTTTTTTTTTTGGCTCCGTTTCTGTTTTCACTGTTCCTTTTTTTTTTTGGTAGTAAATTATATTTACTTTTTTATTTAAGGATTGAAAGATTTGCTATATATGTTATTTCTATTGAATTCTTGGTTATTTATCTATGCATATTTGATATTTTTTGTTTTTGTACTAAATAGTGGTTTAGTTGAAAAAGGTGTGCGCTTCGCTTCACGCATCTCGCTTCGGTGAAGCTAGCCCTTGTCGCTTCTTTTTTTTTTTTGCTTCTCGCTCTCCAAAACACTGAGATTAAATAACTCTGATTGGGTTTCGTATTTGCTTGTCTGTTATCTTTGTTGCCTCTTCTTTCTGTCCTTTATTTGCCGCAACGTTTATGTCTCTATTTTTCCAAAAGATGCTTCTACCCATGGCTTTGTTGTCTTCTTCCTTTTAGAATTGTAGTCATGCGGAGCTTCCTTTGTCATCTCTTTTCCTTCTTCCTGTTTGTCCTCTATATGGTCTACAAGGGCCTCATATTTGTTAGTATTACTAGCTGCTTTCCCTTTGATATCATTGGTCGGCTGATTAACTTTGTGTTGTTCTTGTCTTTCCTCTTGTTCCTTTTGGGTGAGTTCTTGTTGCTTGCCCTTATTCTTCCTATTTTGAACCACATTCCAGTTATGATGGATTGATCCTCCATTCTTGTAAACTCCATTCAACTTTGGTGCGCCAGTTGATTGATTCTCTTTATTTTCCTCACCCTTTGCCTTGTCTTTGAAAGTTTTCTTCTTATCCTCTTGTTTATGTAACATCCGACATCCTTGGATATCATGGCCTTGGAGTCTACAATGTGTGCAATACTTCGGGAGATAGCTCTGCCATTTAGATCTCACTGTTTCGGTGTCTTCTTCTACACGGTTTATTTGGATTCTCTTAAGAATTTCTTTGAGTAGATCGACTTCCACTTTCACCTGAGCACAACTAGGTCTAATTTGGTTATTTGTGGCTTTGTCAATCACTAGGGGTTTACCCACTGCGTTTGCCAATAGAGAACATAAATTCTTTGTCAAATAGGTTTGCAGGCAATCCTAGGATTGATATCCATGCAATTGTAATGGTTGTTTCTTCCTCTTAAACCAAGGATCCCACTTCAAAAACCTCAATGGCTAATATATATTCCTTACTCTTAATTCACATGCTTTGGACATTAACGTCGCATAGTCCTCCAGTTGGGAAAGTTTTATCAAAATGTGTCTATCTTCTCGAAAACCAATATTACATGGTCCCTTGATCTCCAAATTGAATTGGAATTGCCTTCCTCAACTCATATAAATCTGTACGGCCATAGGAGAATTTTGCTACCAATGCGAATTGTAAATTTAGCCTTACAATTAATCTATTGAATTCCTTTGTGGTCCACATTGTCGTTGGTTCGCCATGCAAGAAGGTGATTGGTTTGATAATCGTAGGCTCTTCCTCTTGTTGTAGCAGGGTATTGTGCAAAACATCAGCATAATTGAAGGCATTGGTGTTGGCGTTTGGGAATGGATTGCTGTAGTGGGAAGACCAGCTTCGGAGTTTGGGTAGGGTTGGCCGCTGGCTGATGAGGCCATTCATGGTGGTTGGGAGATAGGTTTTCAGAGAGCATTTTCCCCTTTCCATTATGTTGAATACATTTAAGTACACACCTCCCTTTAAAGTGATGTGAGCAAGAATTGAACCTGCAACCTCTTTGACATGTTGAATCTGGAAATGAGAATCTTTCTTTGATTCAACTTGTATTGCATCTTTCTATAACCAACGTATCTTGGGATCCTTTCTTTTCTAGGTATAAAATACCCAAATATTCTGCTTTTAAGATAGTTAAATTTTGTCTTGTTCCCATTTTCGGTTAAAATTTGGTTTGGATCTTGTTGAGAATACAATTACATAATAAAGTGTGCTTTCCCTAACATCTTAAACTTTTAGATGAGATGGTCACACACTTCAACATTGTATCAGAGTAGGCAGAGGTCCTGAGATTGAATCTCACTACCACCCATATCAAAAAAGAATTTCAACGTGCTTGACTCATGAAAAAGAATCTGTCCCGCACGTGAGGAGGCGTGTTGAGAATACAATTACATAATAAAAGTGTGCTCTCTTTAACAACTTAAGTTTTTAGATAAGATGGTCACACATTTTAACAAATCTACTGTAAGCTCCATGCTATATATGAGATTTTGGTTTGTGCTCGTATACTATTTTGAATAGTGGCTCTTTCTAGGCAACAAATTATCGATATGTCTAAATATGTGCAAGTATGTGCCATTACTGATCTAAGAGCGAAGAGATCTGTTCAGAAACTGGTATACATCTCATGCACTTATCGCATCTGTGTGCAGGTTAACTCTTGTTAGGTGCCATTCAGAATAGAAAATCTGGATTTCTATGTTGTTTTCAAATTTTTGGATCTCGAAATGAAAATGTAGTTATGTAACTTTATAATGTGAGCTACATCGCTACATAATGGTCCATGAGTTCTGATGATATTTTTTAGGTTAGATACTAGAGACTTGTTAAGGTTTCAAGAGGAAGGGTTGCTTGTCAAGCTAGCCTATATATGTATAATAATAATAATAAATTTCTTTCTATTTTATTTTATTATATAAGAAAAATGGAAATATTTACTTTTTTTTTTCAACAGCTCCTTCTTCTTTGTCAATACTGATAATGACCTATGTGTTTGCCTACTTTACTTATTAAAGGTAGTGACAATGGGTTATTCAAACAAAAAGAAAAGGCCCCTACTCAGTTTCGCAAGCCTTTGTCATTGTTTGGTTTATGATCTGTTTGTTTGTCTTTTAGGTCAATGCCTTTGATGTGTGTATACATTTCTTTTTCCATTTGAAATTTTTTTAAGCGGCATCCTTTAGACGTTTTAAAAGTTATTATTAGTATCAGTTTTATTTTATTAATTATGATGATATGATATGAACTCAAATGAAGAATTAAGTATTTTGGGTCTATTATCTAAGGAAATGGAGGATCAATGAGGATGTCACACTTCATATTAGAACATGGGTAGATGAAATGGAGGTTCGTATTTGGTGTCTTATGTGATAAGAATGTTTCATTGAGACTTTAAGGTAAGCTCAATAGAGTGGTGGTTAGACCAACTATGTTGTACATTGTACAGAGATGAGTGTTGGCCAGTCAAGAACTCTCAAGTTCAGAAGATGAAAGTAGCAGAAATGAGGATGCTTGGATGGATATGTGCGCATATTAGGAGAGATACGATAGGGAATGAAGATATACAGGGCAAGGTGGGGGTGACATCCATGGCAGACAAGATGCTCGAAGTGAGACTGCGATGATTTGGGCATGTGAAGAGGAGGAGCACAGATACCCCAATAAGAAGGTGCGAGAGGTTGAAAATGATAGGTCTAAGGAGAGGTAGAGGTAGACCGAGGAAAAATTGAGGAGAGGTGATTACACAAGACATGTCACATCTTCAGCTCACCGAGGACATGACCCTAGATAGGAGAGCATGGAGGTCGAGGATTAATGTAGACTGTTAGTTGGTAGTCGAGCAACCTCTTCCTAGTAGAGCAGGGATCTAGGCTGGAGCACCTATATACTTAACAATATTGTTATTATGCTAGCATTATCTTATTCTTCATTTCTATTACTATTGTTGTCACTTTTACTTTGGCCATCTTTTGTTTTGTTCAAACCTGTTCTGGGAAATGATTTTCTTGAGCCGGGGGTCTATTGGAAACCACCTCTCTATCCACAAAGATAGGGGTAAGGTCTGCATCTTACCCTCCCCAAACCCCACTTATGGGATTGGGTATGTTGTTGTAGGATACTAGGATACATATAGCTGACCTCAACTTGTTCAACTTGTTTGGGGCTGAGACGTAGTTGTTGTATCCTTTTGATGTTTTGTGTAAGAGATAGTTGAGTTTACACTTGTTTGTTATATAAGTGATTACTCTTAGAAAGTTATTAAATTTAAGATTGTATTTTCTTGTCTTAGAACTTCTTTTCAATTTAAACTTTATGATTAATTACTTCAAAAAACTTCCTAATATGATTGATCTTATGCCTTATCATCATGAACTGTTATCTCTAAATGGAAATTTGATATGCTGAGATTGATGCACCCTAGGATTTCCTCAATCTGATTAACTTGAGGGGATGAAAAGTTTTGTTCCCTTCTTCTTGGTTTGTAGGAATAACATATGCCAGTCACTCTCTATAGATTAATCCTCAATCTGGAAAAAACTGTTCTTTCTGAATATCCCAATTTAAGGCTGAAGATTTTCTTCAGCTCATAGTTTTCAATTTTTCGCACCTAAAATGTGTTGTGATGTTTTACAGAAATGAATATGTCTGCAAAACAAAGAAGCTGTGTTTTTAACGAAGACCGCTTCAGTGGACTACCAGATGCCATCCTCATCCATATTCTCTCCTTATTGCCATCAAAGGATGTTGTCAACACAATGTTAATTAGAAGATTTCATCACCTCTGGCCATTCATCCACACACTCAATTTCGATCAATGCATGTGGCCGGGGCACATATGTGGCAGCTATGCTCGAGCTAGTCGCCCAATCTATGATGAGAAGTATGTTAACTTTGTTCGTCATGTGCTTCTTCTTCATAAGGGCCCAACTATTCATAAGTTCTGCCTTAAGTTTCATTTTAGATCATTTTATGAATTTTGGCAAAGAACATCCGGCAGAACAGACATATGGCATTATGATTTCCTGAGGAGTGAGAAAAGGATGGCTAATGAAATTGGTGCCTGGATCCAGTTCGCACTAAATAAGAATTTGGAGGTCCTTGACTTGTCTTTCTATGAGCATGGTACAGATCAGCCACAAGCTTTTTATGATCTGCCTAATTGTGTTCTAAGCAGTCCTCATTTGGTTGAACTCCGGTTGACATACTGTAAGATAAATTTAAAAAGGAAGAGTGAGCTCAAGTCTCTAAAAACATTATATCTTGATAATGTTATGCTAATGGATCAGTCAATGAATTATATTCTATCTGGTTGCCCGATGCTTGAGGAATTGACGCTGCAGCTTTGCTATTGCCGTAGAAGCGTGGTTCTGCTCAATTCAAATTTAAAGACATTGAAGCTTGACATTAGATGGTTTCAACCAAGGATACATGTCTCCTGTCCAACTCTCCTATCATTCGATATGTCTGGAGCTGTGGAGGTGCTGGATATTGCAAATGTAGCATCTATTGCTGAAGTATCTGTCAAGCGTAATCTAATATTTGACTTCAATGAGGACAATAATTACCAAAACTTGAGAATATTCCTCCAAACATTTAGCAGGGCCAAAACTCTGAAGCTATGCTCCTGGCTTGCTCTGGTACACACTTTTTCTCTTTCTTCATAACTTCTCCAGGTATAGTTATGATTCCTGACTCTATTGAAAGATAACCTTTAGGGTGATATACTAACTATAAACTGGATTAGAGGGGTTATGGTGTTGGGTTTTGTCTTTAACGTCTCAGACTCAGGCATCTGTCAATATTTCATGTACATTGTGCAATCAGCTTTTTAAGGCTTTTGTTACTTACCCTGTGGTAGTCAGCACAAATCCTTGTTCATTAAGATCAATACAAAAATCACTATTTATTTTGTTTCTTGAACTCATATGTTTAATTTTTGTCTGCATAGGCATTTTCTGTGTGGCAGTTGAACAATCTACCATCTCCAACCTTCAGCTGCAAATCCCTTCATCTTCAATTGGATTTTGTGATATGGCACCTACCAGGAATACTGAACTTGCTGAAGCACTGTCCTTGCTTGGAGAATCTTATCATCGAAATTACTTCTTACGATGGATTTACACCCTATGTATGACAAATTTTAATTGTTTTATTGCTCTTGTTGCTATCTGTGCTTTGCAATGTTTGTTTGGACAGTACACTAACCAGATTAGGTATGATTGGGATATCATGTTTTCTAATTCTATTTTCTTCTCCAAAAGATAAACAACAGTTTTTAAGGTGGAAACTTAATTTTCAGAACTTGTATGGTTTTATATATATTGTTTGACAGTAATCTAGATGTGTTCTCATCTTGTGTTACCCTAGCAATTTGTATTTTTTAGTCCTATTCAGTGTCTGTTATTATTGGGTTGGTACAACTCTTAATGTGGAGATTTTCTCTTGTGCTTATTTTAGAACGCACTCTCCTGGATTCACCTATATGAGTTTGATGCTGGTGAATATCGGAGTATGGTAGATGTTCCTGTCCAGTGCTTGATTGATCACCTCAAGACGGTGGAGGTAGCTGGCTTCGTAATGGAGAGACAGATGATTCAGTTTCTGGAATATTTGCTCGGGCATTCCATGGTGTTACAGAAAATGAAGATATTTGCAAAAAAGAAAACCTCTGGTAAGGCTTATGAAACCTCTAACCCAAATAGTCTTACATCTGGTAAGGCTCATGAAACCTCTGACCCAAATAGTCTTACGTCTGATAAGGCTCATGAAACCTCTGACCCAAATAGTCTTACGTCTGATAAAGCTCATGAAACCTCTCACCGAAATAGTCTTACATCTGATAAGGCTCATGAAACCTCTGACCCAAATAGTCTCAAGTCTGATAAGGCTCATGAATATAAAGAGAGGCTTCTGAATGCACCAAAAGCCTCTGCCGCTGCTGCAGTGTTCTTCTACTGAGGTGAACCCTTCAGACGTATTTAATTAGATGCTTTTAGTTCGAACAGTTTGTTTCTGGGAACTCTCTTGCAATAAACAGTTAGCTGTTATTGTTATAAGTTGTAAAACTCCTGATAACAATATGCACAATGAATTGTGCTGTGGACACAGTTTCCTGCATTTTCTGTAATAACTGTTGAACGGTTTTCCTGTTGGATGTTATGAAGTTTTTCTGTGAAATTTCATTTACATGAGTACCTAGTAGAGGAGAAAGGTAGATTCATGTGCTTTCTATTAGTTGTTCAGTTTTCTACTACTAATTTTCAGAATTTTTTAAAATGTATTACATACATACACTGATGCATTTCATAAAAATATTCTAAAAAACTATTCTTTTTAACCAAGTTTCTTGAAAACCAGAAGTGTTTTTGCTGCTTCTTTTTGAAAATGCTTTTTTAGAGAGTCGAGGTGTTTGGCCAAGCTTTTAGAGAAAGCATAAATACTTTTGAGTACTATCAGGAATTTTTCAGAGGTTGAAAGTATCAGAGCTTTTCTCTGGAAGCACTTGAAATTTTGGCCAAGCACAAATTCTACTCTAATCTTGACAAGTGTGTTTTTCAAATTGGTTTACCAAACACTATCTGCTATTTTTCGAAAAGCACTTTCCGAAATAAGCAGATTTTAAAAGCTTGTACGATACATTATCAACCAAACATTGATGAATTAGAGGAATATAAGAAACATAAAAGGTTCATTTCATGTTGGTAAGATTGAATATCTATATTAGCATGTCATGCTTTGTTTTAAATAACAACTTTGTGGTAAATAATGGGCTATTATTTCTTCTTTCCATAAACAAGATTTTTGTTTCAATTTGCTCTTTTGGACATTCCATCACTGGGCACTTCCCCGCCCTGTTTCATGTTTTTCATCAGTGTCACCTCTTGAAATTTTCTGGCATGATGAACACAGAGCCAGTGTCCTAGTCTTGGAAAGATGAAACGGCGTCGCCCGTTGATCAATCTTGATTGATCTTAGCTCTTGCAACTCTTTCTTTAGCCTATTATTTTCATCATTCAGACTCTGGCACCATTTCTTCATGAACTCACAGTCTACTTCTGTTTGCTTCAGTTTAGTCCTTTATAACACATATTTAGAATAAAAAAAGAAGAAAAAAAATAAGAATTGTTATATAGTAATAAAATAGATATAGTAAATAAGATTTTAATTACCTTGCTCTTCTATTCTGAAACCAAACTTCTACTTGCCTTGGTTTGAGTTTTAATTTTGCTGCAAGTTCTTGTTTCTGACCCTGCATCAGGTTATACATACACCAATAGTGTAAGATTTCTTTAGCCGGTCAGCGTATATAAGTTAAATCCATAAAGACATTTAACGATACCATTGCGAGTGTAGTGTGCTGTTTGAAACTGTCTTCAAGCAAAGTGGATTGTTCTTTAGTAAGCCTCAGTTTCTTTCTCATGCCAATCTTCTTGCTTTCACTGTTAAATTTGCTAAAAAATTTACAAGTTTTTGAGCTAGATCCATCAATCTTGCTGGTGTCATGAAAAGGAATAATTGATAGATCTAGACATGTAATTTTCTTATGATGATCACTTGTGGCAAGTCCAAGTGTGAGCCTGGTGTCACAAGCTTCATTGCTATTATTTCCCATAGTCGGAGTCGTCTTTGTTAGTAAGCGTTTTGTTTTGTGTGTGTATGATTTGAGAATTGTAGTGAAACTGTTCCATTGAGAAGGATCTTTATATGGTATGTTTAGTTTTTCAAGAAAATGAATGAGAATTTGATTAATTGTGTATTAATTACTTATACAAAAGTCATTAATAATTAAGTATGAGTTTAATGATAATTATGGCATGCGTTTAAAACAATTGACTCCTCTAAAGGAAACCAATAACTTACACTTTGAACAAGACTTTTGTTTGACTTGCCACCCTATTTCCCATAATAATTTTAATGTATTCAAAAGGGCTTTTCCTATTCCAATTCAGTATAGAAACTCTTAAACACATTTATGATAAATGAGATAGGATTGACTCATACATTTAGTAACGATTAGAATAAGAACCCCATTAAGAGTTTATTTTCTCTTCGTTCCAAAATAATTATCGTGTTTTTCTTTTCGAGAGTTTAAATACACGAACTTTGACAAATATTCTAAGATACTTTTAACCATATATATATACTCTCTCCGTGACTCCGTTCATTTTTACTTATTACTGTTTGACTTAAGACACCAATTAAGAAAATAATTATTTATGTAGGTATTTTACCACACTATCCTATGTTTTGTATTAGGTCTTGGAAAATGATTTGGAGGATAGCGAATGAATTAAACTTGAATAATTTAACAAGCAACAAGGTCGTTGTAGTATAGTGGTAAGTATTCCCGCCTGTCACGCGGGTGACCCGGGTTCGATCCCCGGCAGCGGCGCTTTATTTTTTTTTTTCTAAATATGTGTTTGTGTTTTTTGTTGTTGTTGGTTGTTTCATTTTTTGTGGGGGGGTTAACTTTGAAGTATGGAACTAAGAAATATTTAAGTTTGCTTCTATATAAACTAACTTTATCTAGAACACAAGTTACAAACTTACTTACCCTTGAATATGTGATGTAACTAAGATTATATTAAGCTAATTATTAATTTAACATTTTTATATAAATTTCAAAAGGTTTATTTGTTTATTTATTGGTGTTATGGGAATAATCAATGTTCCTTGTTTACCTATAAAACTACTCTCTTCATTCCATATTAATTGAATTTTCGAGGCATTTTCAATTTTTCAAATTAACTTAATTGTTCAGTTTTCAAGACTACTTTTAGAGTGTTCTTCCAATTTTACCCTTTATTTGAATTTTCAATGTGATGACTTCAATAAATTTAACAATAATTAATAAGGGTAAAAATGGAAAACTATGTTCAATTTATGTCTTAATCTACTTTTCTTAAAGGGTGTGAAACACCTCAAAAATTCAATTAATATGGAATGGAGGGAGTATTATCTACCCTATTAGGTCGCCTATGGGTTAGTGACAAAGGCGGTAAGCAACGATAAGATTATCTCTATGTGATTTATTAGTCAAGGATTTAGTTATGAAATAAGTCATTAGTATTTGCATTGGAATAGATTATTTATAGTATACTTTTTCATGGGAGCAACCCTATTCTGAACCCATCCATGAATGTGAAATGCTTTGGATACTAAACTATTTTTTTTTGTTAGGTCCTTAGGAAGAAAATTATTCTAAACTAAAAGAAAAAATTTCTTAACTTCCATTTGGTCATAAAATATGAAATTGAAATTTGAAAATTGGACTTTTTGAAGTTTGTGATTTTTGAAACTTGAAAGTTGTGTTTGAATGTACATTTTATGTTTAAAAAGTTCGAACTTTTGTAAGTAGAAGTAAATTTTCCCCTCAAAATTAGTTTGTACTCAGTTTTTGAAACTTAATTATCTTTTTTTAAAATAGATTTCCTGAATATATTTAAATCTATGATCAAACGTCAACTTAATTACATCATATACCATGTGTTAAATCCCAAACTTAAAATTCACCAAGTGGCACCATGTAATGCTAATTCGAAAAATGCCGGCTAAGTTAATCAAACAGAATCCTCAAACAACACTCTTTTTTTAATAAAAATTAAATATTAATTTCTCTTAACCCCAAAACATAATCCTTATCTATGTCTTTTGTTTTCTTAAGGACTCTATCCAAGTCAATTAACATTCAAATTTTTTATTTCCATACCTAAAAACCCAAAACTACCCTTTCTCCTTCTCACCAAAATCCCCATTATAAAACCCTTTTTCGTAACTTCCCAACATATATTTCTCCATATTTTCACTAGAAACCGGCTTAAGCATCTAAGTTGCCGCCACATTTTACGTATTTGTTTTTAGCTTCATTCATTTTCTCCAACAAACAAAAAAAAAAATTATATTTTTTGCTTTTGTGAGATTATTGTTTGTTTTGTTGCTAATTTTGTTTGTTACTATGAAGGAAAACTATGAAAATATTGGATTTGGTGATTCATTGAAGCCAAAAAAACCGAAATCTAGAGAAGTAAGTTCAAGATATTTGTCTCCAACTTCGAATTCTTCAATTCTTGATGATAAAAATCAGTCTCTAGAAAGTATAGTACCGAAAACAAGATCATCTACTGATTATAATAAGCATAAAAGTCTCGATAAATCGGGATTAATGGGTAAGCTTTGGCCGTCTTCTTCTTCTCCAAGTTCAATCATGGATACTTTTGGTAATCACTTAGGAAATGAGAGATTAAAAGATGTTGAAGAGCGAAAAAATCGCGAAATTTCAAATTCAAATTCTCATCCCCTGTTTTTAAGTAAGCAAAAGAGCTGCACGGGGTTTAGTAGATTTGAGAATGAAAACGAAAGAACGAAAGAGAAGGAGAAAAGAAGATCGTTTTTTGGTGGATCTGGAAAAATCAAGTTTCCAGGGAGATTTTCGACTAATTCATCGAAATCTTCGAATTTATCGGATGGTAATAGTGGCCAGATTGCCTCTGGAAGATTTTCTGTTGATGCGAATTTGCTTGGAAGAAGATGTAATTCAGCAAGAATTAGATCAGATATTTTATCTGATATAGCAAATGAATCGGAATCCGAATACAGTGACATTTGTTCAAATAACAGTTTTGATTCCCCTGTTTTTGGGAGAAATATTGGTGCACCATCATATATGGCACCAACATTAAGTTCACGAAAGTCTGGTATTGAAGTTCCATCGAAGTATATGCAAGATTCGTTATCAAAATCGCGAAGATGGAGTTCAGATTGCAGTGTTCCAAAGCCAGAGTCTCCGAAATTAGGACTCAAATTCAAGAATCCAATACAAAGGGCAGCTACTTCACTTAACAGTAAAACTTCTAAATGGGCTTCGTCTCCTGGAAGACCAAATTCGCCTCCTGTATTGATGGAAAATAGAGGGATTTTTACGTCGAATATGAAGCCCCCTACGAGTCCTTCTAAGGGGAAAAGTGTTGGGAATTTCCTTAGCATGGGGCTTGAATTGCTCAAAGGTAAGAAATTTTCTTCTGGTGCAGCATCTCGTCTTAGGCCAGGCACGACGGAGAGCGTTCATCATTTAAGGATACTTCATAATAAATTGTTGCAGTGGAGATATGTAAATGCCAGAGGTGATTCAGTCCATCACAATATCAGTAGACAAGCTGAGGTCAGTCGCGGAGTCGGGAATTTTACTAATATATTATCTATAAAAAATAATTTTTGACCTTGTTTATTTGGTTTTTCTCTTAGGCAAACTTAGTATATGCTTGGGATGGTCTAATAAAAATGAGACAATCTGTGGTGCAAAAAAAGTTGCAGCTACAGAGGCAAAACATGGAAATGAAATTGAGTTTTGTTCTTCATTCTCAAGTAAGAACTAATTTAACCTTGACGAATATTGGTCAGACAGTATCAAAAATCATCACAACAATTAAAGATATGATTTTTTTCGTGATGTATTGTGCAGATAAAGTTACTAGAAGCATGGGGTTCTATTGAAAGGCAACATTCTTCAGCAGTGTCAAATTCCCTGGATTGCTTACAATCAGCAGTCTGTAGGGTTCCTCTCATTGAAGGAGCAACGGTAAGTCCAATGGCGAACGTGCTAAAAAGTAACTTTTGATCTGTTTATACTATAATTTTTGCATGTGTTAAAACTTTCCGATGAATGATGTTCAACTAACCACCCTTCACTTTATGTGGCTACGTATATGCCACAGAGCATTTCACTGACAAGATTAAGCCTGTAGGTGGAACCACAATCGGCTATTATTGCTCTTCAACATGCATCAGATGTATCTACATCGATCACGTTGAGATTATCCAATTTCTCATCAGGAGTAAGATTTTGGTTGCTCTAGTTTCTAGCATTGCTTATATTGTCTCGGATATAATTTATATATGCTGACAATATAAAAGTTTATACGAGGTAGTTTAACTTGTTTGAAATTTTCGATCAGGCTGAAAAAACTGCAGAAGTAATGAAGGAAATGGCAGAGGTAGTTGTACAAGAGAAGTTGTTGTTAGAAGAATGCTTGGAGCTTTTCAACAACATTTCTATACTAGAGGTTAATTTCTCAATTTATAGAATTAATCAACTTCATTGCTTGCATTATACAAAGTTACTTATTTAATTCATATGATATATATACTCCCTACGTTTCAATTTGTCTGTCTTACTTTCCTTTTTAGTCTATTTCAAAAAGAATGTTCATTTCTGTTTTATGGCAATTCTTTAGTTTCAACTTTCCACGTGACATGTTTAAGATCACAAGATTAAAGAACCTTTTAGTACGTTCAACATAACTTGATATGATTAGCATTTGAACTCTCTTTGTAAATCTTTACTGTGTTTTGTATTGGCAGAGTCAAGAAAGGTATTTAATATGCAGTATTATCCAATTAAGACAGCAACAAGAACAGTACTGCAAAAAAGAGAAGAGAATGGTATATGTTTAATCATTTGATCTCAGAAGACAATGCTCAAGGATTTACCGTCAGAGAGGCGGATTCAGAATTTCAATTTTATGAGTGCTAAGTCTGAGAACGACGAGTTTCAAGTGTTAATATCTGAATTCTAAATTTAATGTTTGTACATATTTAGTGAACTTCTTAACATAAACGTATTCAACTTTCTGGAGGCAGGAGCAAGAGTAGTATTATTTTGTTGATTATCAACTGTATGTATATTAGTGACGTACACAAATTAATTTAGTGCAAGCGAGAAGATAGTGATCTAATTAGGTATTCGTATTGGAACTTCAATTAATTCACATTGGTGTTGCGTAAGGCCCATTTAAGGAGGAAACCTTTTTAACGGGAGCTTTTTTCATATCCAAAATTTCAAGGAGTGAAGAGATCATATCCGTCCCATCATAATTTTTATTGGTAGCTTAACTTCAATTATAGTTTGGCAAAGCTTGCCACTCTTTTTCTTCACTTCTTTTTGAGTTAACGATTGCAAAATAATGTTATTTTAGTTTATCCTTTTGTAATACAACTTGAAAACGAATAATGTTTTTGTTATAAAAAATAATTTAATAACTTCGGTTATAGTAAAATAAAAATTCACTGATCATTCATGAAATCAACCCTACACAAGTATCGTACACATATAACATCAATATACTCCTATAAGAAAAATGTGAAAGAAGTTGATTATATATTTTTGTGAAAACCTAATTATTCAAGAAGAAAAATATGTGGGAAAAAAAGTTGATTGCATATTCAAAAAAATTTGTATTATTTTTACATACTTTCCTTTTATCCAGAAAATTTAAAAAAATAAAAATAAAAATCCGACCAACCGGATTCGAACCAGTGACCTAAGGATTAGCTGAAAGGCTTTGCCCACTACAGTCCTCCGCTCTACCAACTGAGCTATGGTCGGTTACTGAAATATAATTGCTTCTACATTTATCAAAATTTAAATCACTTTTTGCCATCTTTTTCTACACCTAGCAATTATAATTAGTATATAGTAGATTATATAAGTCATAAGTACATACTTCTTTCAATTTTTTTCCTTACACATGTTTCATATATGTCACATTATCAAAAATGCAAAATATAAGTCTACGTTACAAATGGCTTAATTGTTATTTCAAATCATTCATTACTATTTATTTTTTTTAATTTGAGTTTCGGTATCTTACTTTATTTTCAGTATGATAGTCACCCCTTTCTCATTAAAGTAGAGTGAGTAACTTTTTTCTTTACTACTGCTGTCATACCACAAAGAAGTCCTATAACTACGCTTAATTCTTCTTCCAATCCTAAAAAGAGCACTCAATTACGTGAATTGAATTTATTACATATTGATCTAACTAGGGAATGTTGCTCGTTAATATGTTTAAATTCCTTCACAATTAATCACATCAACATAATTGAATTATATTTTATTCGTTATATATAATATTTATCATTTCACGAATGAGTCAATTCCCTAAATGGTCACCCAAGTTTAGAGAATTGCCTTGAAATATCATTTATGTTTCATTTAGGATCAAAATATCACTCAACTATCACTATTTTCCTCAAAATATACTTGACACTCCAAAAGCCCCACTCTCTCCTATTTGGCATGTCATGTCATTAAAGTCTTTTTTTTTAATAATAGACCTATTTAACTCATTAAACTCATTTAGCTAAAATAAGCCATGATCATATTATTATTTTTAAAGTTACATTAGTTTATTAAGAATAAATTTTCATGCTTAAGAATATTTTATCATAATTAAAAATTTTATTTTTTTATGTTATGAAGAATAGGTTTTTAAAACGTATTATAATATCATTAATTTTGAATACATATAAACACATACATTCAAAAAAAAATTGATATACAAATCACGCATGAATGCTAACTTACATCAGTTAATCATAAATTGTATAATGAATCAATAATATTAAAGGTCAATTAACTATTACAATAATATTAATTGTGTATTTTGAAATTTATGCTTACAATTATTTTTAAAAAAAAATAGAAAGTGAATAATATTATATTTTTTATCCAAAAAAATAATACTAAATACCTCAAAAGTCTCCTTCTATTCTAGTTGATACGTTATGTCATTAAATCGTCATTTTAAAAAGTAATAGACCTATTTAATTCATCAAACTTATGTCTCTACAAAACAAATATATAAATTACATGAGAATTTGTGAAGATTATAAAAAAAATTAAAAAAATCTAATTCCTTTATATATTTTTACTAAACAAAATTCAATGAAAAAATCTCTGTGTACAATTATTACCCGGTAGTTTTTAAAATTTCTAAGTAAATTATTTGAAAATTTTAAGAATTTTTTTTCATAAAAGTATTCAAATAAATTTATAAGGTTGACAAAAAAGTTGGTATGAAGAGAAAATTATTATTTAGCTTTTTTTTAATTTAATTTTTTTATTATTGTTTTATTCTATATTATATTATAATTTAACTTCTCATACAATTAAACACCAATATATATTCTTATCTCATCCCAAATTTATGAAATACAAGTAATAATTAATTGAATTGCCTATTTTAATTCAATAATATACATATTATATGAGATTAATATACTGATAAATAAAGATCAAAATTTATTTTCTAATATAAATATTATTCACTTTCTATTTTCTTTTCAAAAAAAAGACATTGCAAGTATATATGAATTTCAAAGCACCCAATTAATTATTTTTTAGTAGTTAATTGATCCTTAATATTATTGATCCATTATATAATATATGATTAGTTGATGTAAGTTGACATTCGTAAGTGATTTATATATCAATATTTTTTTTTTTGAATATATGTGTTTATAATTATTCAAAATTGATGACATTGTGATAATTTTAAAAAAAACTATTCATCATCACATAAAAAAATAAAAAAAATTAATTATGATAAATGATTCTTAAGTATGAAAATTTATTCTTAATAAACTAATAAATCTTTAAAAAAAAATATGATCATCATTTTAGTTAAATGGGTTTAATGAATTGAATTGGTATATTATTAAAAAAAAAAAAAAACTTTAATGACATGTCATGCCAACTAGGAGAGAGTGAGACTTTTGGAATGTCAAGTATATTTGGAGGAAAATAGTGATAGTTGAGTGATATTTTGGTCCTAAATGAAACATAAATGATATTTCAAGGCAATTTCCTAAACTTGGGTGATCATTTAGGGAATTGACTCTTTCATGAATGTGAGATTTTCCTATTATGAACTTTAATCAATATGTTGTTAAAAGTATGAGTACTTATTACCCTAACTTTTTTTTTTTTTAATAATAACAATAGCATAGTTAGTGAAAATTCACTAAGTGAGGTCTAACGAGGATATAGTGTATGCAAATCTTACTATTATCTCGTGGAGGAACAACAACAACATATATAGTGAAATTTTACGAGTGAAGGAACTATTTTTTTTAAAATAATAATTAAAAGATAGACTAATATATACTCCCTCTTTCCCTAATTACTTGTCCACGACATACCTATTAAGAAAGCAATGATTGACATAGTGAGTTTACCATTTTATCCCTATTAATTATGAAGTGGGTGAATTAAAAATTTAAGATTTTCAAGAAGTTTTACTTTATTTCAAAGTAATTAATTGAGGGTTTAATTGGTAAAAAAAATTGTTCTTTCTTGATTTGTCAAAATGGACAAGTAATTAGGGACAATTAAAAAAGAAAAATGGACAAGTAATTAGAGACCGAGGGAGTACTTATTATTTCATTCGTGATAGTGTTTTTAAGTGAAAAAGGGAAAAGAGAAAACCAAAAAAGCATTTTGGTCGATAAATCCATTTTAATCCCTCTGTCCCTAATTACTTGTCAACTTTTGAATTGACACACCTATTAAGAAAATAATAATCGATAATTTGATATAGTGATTTTATCATTTTATCCGTATTAATTATGAATTGAATGAATTAAAAACTTAAGATTTTCAAGAAGTTCTATTTTTTTTAAGTAATTAATTGAGGGTAAAAAAACAAGTAATTATGACAGCACTGACTTATTCCATTTGAGACATTTTGGTTTGTGAAAAGTTATTACTTTTTGCCATGGCAACTTCATTGGCAGCAATGACGGCGCGTCGAGCCACAACCTTCACGCACTTCCCCTTCTCAAGCCTGACGTCTCACGCAGTGTAACAAATCCGAAATTCTCACTATATTAATAAGAACTGAAGCACTATTACAATACTCAAACTATCGAATTATGATGAAAATACTGAAATTACAAGTAACTAAAAGATAAAGATAAGAACGCTCTTTACTCAACAATTTGCTTTAACCCTATTTTCCCTAGAATGTGCTACAGTACTTATTAACTTGGATCCCATGCATAACCCCTTTATATGGTATTGGGCTGTTTTGGTATAACAGGCCTCGGCCCATTCATAACAAGCAGCTTCTTCTTTTTTTTCCCAAACTTTTAGATCGATTCAATTAGACCGTCCTGTTTCCCGCGCATCCTTCGCAATCGGCAAGTGCGATATGCTAAACAATTCTCCTACAATGGAGGATCTCGACGGAGGAATGGCAAGTGATGTAGAGAGAGAAGAGGAAGAAGCTGTGACCGACTTACTCCGAGATCGATTCAGATTATGCACCATCTCCATTGCTGAAGGTGAGGCGAAACAATGCGGTATGGAGGTTTCTCAACCGATCATCACATGTATATCTGATTTAGCCTTCAAGTTTGCAGAACAGCTAGCAAAAGACCTAGAATTATTTGCACAGCATGCTGGTCGTAAGTCCGTAAACATGGAAGACGTTATTCTTTCCGCACATCGGAATGATCACCTGGCTGCCTCATTGAGGTCCTTCTGCAATGACCTCAAAACAAAAGAGCCCAATTTGGAGAGGAAGAGGAAGAAGAATCCCAGAAGGGAAGGTAGAGTTGCTCCAGATTTACTTCGTACTCCAGACACTTAGATTAGAGGTATGCCCAGTTTCACCATGTGTCCAGTTAGCCTAATAGCTTAGTGAGAGCAGCATCTGTGCAGCAACCACAACCTTTTGAAGTAAACAGGTTGACAACATTACTGAAAAGCTACCTCAAAGTAGCGCCTAAAGTGGAAGGACAAGAAAAACTCTAATTATATGCTTTACTTCTACATTTTGTTTCAGTTTTGTGTTAAAGTATCTGGAGCTTCAATAAACTAATGATTGTGCAACTTTGGTGTTTGTAACAAGGATAGTGATTGATTTGAAAATAGAATTATATATGCAAAGGTTGAAATGTTTGCCTGTATTCCTATTTCCTTTGCTTCAGTGCCTCTAAGGTCCAAGTTCTTTTGTTAGTTGATGAAATGACTTATTGAGATCTTAAATTCTACTTTACCAAGGGAAGAGAGTGTGTCTCGTATATTTAGACACTCGAAACTGTCCTTTCCAACTTTATGTATTTTTTTCGCCTAAATAGATTGACCAGCACTAAACTAACATAAAACTAATTGTATGTTGTGATTTGGAAATAGCAAATGCATATTGATTGGAGAAGTTCAATGATCAGGCACTGGAGTAGAAGGAGTTTCCGAGCTTTTGAAATAATAGTTGTGGCACTCTCTTTCTTTCATAGGGAAGGAAGCTTTGGCTTTGGTTTGGACCTGTACTTGACCGAGAAGTGAGAGCTTAAACGGGGTAAAAGTAGCCATCTGGCACATTAGGGAGGAAATCTCATCTGAGGAAGGCGGATGATAGGATAGCTCTATTTTATTCAAAGGGAAAAACAACCTCAATAATCTTAAGGGGGAGGCTATTTAGGTCTCTGCTGTTGACAACCTATCTATTATCTGCATATTTAGTTTTCATTTTCTTGAAGCTCTTTCTAGAGATTTTTGGTGAATGGGTCACATAATGGAAGTAGTAGGTGGCAGTGAGAACCTTCTTGTTCTCAATTTTATGGAGTAGTAGATTGAATAACGTTAATAGGAAGCAGAAAACAATATGATAATAATAGAATTGAAACATGGACTCTGCTTTACTGGGAACCTGTTCGTTTGATTACTTCTTTTTCTTCTTCTACCAAAGACAGGTATAAGTATATTTCAAACCTATCACACTAGCTTGATAGTTGAAAGCCTGACTATATTTATAATTATGAAAGTAATGCAAGTATGGAACAAAGTTTAATTAGATAATATAAGCAGAGAATAATTCTATACTTAAGAGTTCATGAGACTCCTCATAAAGAGAGAATGTGGATACACTAAAGATTGACTTTGGATTTACATCAAAGGTCTTGATGTAGTCACCACAAGAGACCTTCTGGAAAATTTCCTCAACCCCCTGCAACAATGATGGGAAAAGCCCTAAGATATGTCAATGATTTAGCAGACCCTTTATGTGAAAGGAAAGTTTTCTCCAGCACCTTAATCATTACTCCCTCTGTTCCAATTTATATGAGTGAGTTTGACTTGACACGGAGTTTAAGAAATAAAAAAAGACTTGAAACTTGTGGTCTAAATAAGTCATAGATATTTGTGTGGCTAGAAAATAGGCATTTTAAAGTGAATTTGTTACTAAATATAGAAATGTGTCATTCTTTTTTGGACCAATTAAAAAGGAAAGTAAGTCATTTAAAGTGGGACAAAGGGAGTACTATATATTTGTGCCACATGTTTTCTTAGTAGAGATGAAGAAAAAATATTAATCTAGAAATATAGAATTCTCTTAGCTGACTGTGACAATTGCAGTTCGTGGAGTCAGTTGTCTATTTTACACTCAATATGGCATGCTTTCGAAGCGTTTGATATAAGTTGCAGTGTCATATTTATATGATCTGAAACTTTGCTGTTTTTGATTGTATCGTTGTCTGGATGGGGCTTGCTTTTCTAAGGTGGATACAAGTTGTTCACTGGAGGCAAGAAGAGCAAAGAAGAGGTATTCACATGTTTCTTACAAACCCTGAACATTGCTATACTTGTACTTTTCACTAGTCCAACTTCCAAGAATTGGATAGAATCAAATCTTCTGCAAGAATAATGTGGCTTCGAAATCAATTACGTCACAGTGACCTATTCAATTTGCAAATGGTAGATCTTTGTAAGCCCAGTCCATTAAAAGCTGATTAGGAAATAGACGAAGGCAAAGACTATAGTAGCTTACTTGCCTATATTTATGTGGAGCTAGAATATTTGGCAGGCATTACTGAAGACCAAATATGGAAATTTCATACTGTCGGATGGTATGGTAAAATAGTTATTTAAGCACTATTAGATTGAGGAAAACAGGATCCTGCATTTCTTGTATAGATTCCTGAAAGTAGTGACCTTGATTTTTTTCACCTGATGATGAGGGTGTTCTAGCTAGCATCCATATTATTCTCATTCTTTATCTAAATTTTTTTCGTTCAACTTTCATATGAGTTCTCAGAAAGTAAAAAAAGGTCTTGTTTGACATTGATTCTCTTCTAACAACAGTGCTTCTTAAGGAATACCTTTCAACTGATGTATCGAAAAAAAAGGAATGACTTTCAGATTGAATGACTATTCTAGTTTCAATGTCATTTGATTAACTGAATGAAACAGAATAGACATTCAGTTCAATGACTTCTTGAAAATAGTAAGAGGCTTTTAGTGAACCAGTAGAAGAAAAAAAATTAAGGGCTGTTTAGTATAAGTGTTAGACTTGAAACTTTTGCTGGTATATTTGTTTTTAGTTTTAGGAAACAATTCCCCAAAGGCAGTGTTTCTATAAAATACTGAACAGAAATGGACATGTCTTACTAATGTTTTTCCCTATATCCTATTAAAAAAAACTAATGGTAGGGTTACAGATTTGTTGTGTGAGACCCCATGGTTCTTTCGCATAATATGTGTATCATTGAATGAGTGTATGAGGCTTATATGACTTGGTGTATCATTTCAGGAGAATAAGGTTAAAAAAGGGGAGGTAAAAAAAAAAAAGATCAAAGAATTAGACTAACGTTATGGGTCAAGGATGCCCTTAAACAAGTTCGAGTTAAAGAATGTCTATTCTAACACCCCGCTCGTTCAGAACGCTTAAGTTAACCGGTACCTTTGGGGATAAGACAAAGAGTGTCTTATATGCTAATAAGGATGTTTTATAAGGTGATATAGTCGCCCAATGATCGTAAGTTAAGTTTTGAAGTCAAGCAAGTTGAGAAATAATAAGTTGGAAAAAGTTAGAGTAAGTTTCTTTGATAAATTTTCTGAAATTGGGTTAAATGTCTCGGAGCTTTTCTCCCAATATATAAAGCTTTAGAAGAACCCCAATATATGAAATCAAAAGTCTACAAGTCTACTTTCCAACGCACTAAATCATTTGTCCATACGACTTCAGAATTGAGAGATATTTAGATTTTAGTGAGACTGCACAAGCAGGCACGTGAAGGTGGGCCCCTAGCCCATATGTCGGTTTAGCTTTATAAGATCAGATTTCCCTTCGTTTTATCTCATTATTTTTTACCAAAATAAGAATAAAACAGCCCTAAATCCTCTCTAAAGGTTCACCTATCATCCAAGCAAAGATCTACAAGATTTCAACGTGGTTTCACCCTCGGAACGTTCATAGAGATTGTGTTATTTCTTTCCTCCTCGTTGGTTGTGATTTGAAGGATTCTTCATGGTGAAGGTGTCTTGTTTTTATGTGGTGTTGCTGCTGTTTGGAGGTAATAATTCTCACCCTTCATTTTATTGAGTGAGTCCAAGTTATAGCTATGCTATATAAGCAAGAACACGAATAGACGGCTGGAAAAATCGTATTTGGATAGTTACGTGATGTTGGGCTGTTTTAAAGTATTTTCTAATATTGTTGTTGCTGGAATTTTTTTGGAAATGTTTTGTATGTGTGTGGTATTTGTTGATATGAGTCTGGAAGAGAAGAAGAAGTATAGATGGATATTTAATTGTAACATAAATTAGTGTAACGTTGGTTCTATTATTGCATTGCAATTTTTAAATTGATTCTTCTTGGTTCAATGTCTTGCGTTTAAGGAGACTGTTTGTTATTGACAAGACATGTTAATGTACTGCAAGCTCCATCAAGTTTAAGTTTAGGTTTTGTCCTTTTAAGCTCTTATTGCATATGAATAGAAAGACATGACTCCAAATGTAATTATTGGATGAACGTATAGGATGATGATTGGAAGCGGCGAGTTCAAGTTATTATGGTTATATTGAACAATTATAGGACTGTATTATACATATTTTTTTATGGCTTTAATGGTTTGTATACTCGTGGTTAGGATTTGGTTATGGTTATTTTGGGTTGGAAAAGAAGGGTGTGGCAATACGCCGAGTTTTAATTGTTGTGTAGGCATACTCAATTTGGTTGTTGTTGACTATTGCGTAGGCCTCCACTTGTTAATAGCTGCTGCAAAAATGTATGTTACGTCATTAATTTGGGGTTGTAATTTGGAGAAGAAAAGGTAATGAATGAAGCATACATTTAAAAATGGTTTGGTTAGCTAATCACTCTGCTAGTGAGCTCTAAATTGCTACTTTGACCCTGACGTGTTAATAATCTGCCTGTAATGGTTGTGTGACATGATTTTCTGTAGACTACATACGGTAAGGAAGGGGGTACAATCCATATTGATACAACAAGACCCAAAATCGAGGTATGTTAAGGCTAAGCACTATACTTCCATTGAGCACGAATTTTTGAATCCTAAATTGTCAAATATTGTTTTACTACTCTATTGCTAGAAAGACCTTTTGTGAAAGGCATTGAGATTGTAGTTGGCGTATTCTTGTGACTCCATTATGTTGCTATTCCACTCGTTCGGTTAGATAGGGTATTTGGCGTCTTTATGTCATTTTGTTGATTCTCTTGACTATAGGTCCATGTGTACAAATTATTCTTCTTCTTTAGGTGTAGTAACTTAAGAAGATTAGGGATGAACAACATCAATATGAAATCAATCCTCCTTCCTCGCTAATTTATATTTTTTTTGAAAACTTTAAAATAAAACATCGATCTCCAAAACTATTAAATGTAAATCGTTTGTTTAAACTACTAAAGTACGGGTTTTTTTGAAATACTTTCTTTTACAAACCACTAAGGA